TGAGTTTTTGTTACTCTTGTTCAAGTTGTTGAAGATGTTGGATTAAGGTTGATTTTGCTCCATTTTTTTCATATATGCGATTACTATAAATTGCCCTCGACTAATTCCACGGTTCCCCAAATGTTTGGGTATCTTGTATTTTCATTCTCACTTTTTCAAGGATATAAAATTTTTTCTCATCCTTTCTTTTATTACTCAGTCATTTAAAGTACTGTGTTGTTCCCTAAGAATTTTATTATTATTATTATTATTATTATTATCATTTGGCCTTTGTTTTTTCAATTACTGATTTCTAGTTTTATAGTGTGGTCTGACAAAATGGGTTGTAAAATTTTAATATTTTAAAATTTATCAAGGCTTGCTTTGTGGCCTAACATGTGATAGTTAGGTTTATTGGGCCAATCTGGCCAATAGGAACATGTAGGATTAATCAGGTCACATTTTGACTGGAGGACAAAGACAGAAATTGCTATGCAAGTCCTGCCGCCCCTGCCCCTCGTCACCGCTATCTGATTGGACAAGCGTGTTGCTGCTTTAGCTAGTTCTTTGCTTCAATCTGTGAGCTACACCAACTATGGGCCAAGCCAGCTCATGGATCCTGTCTCTAGAGCTTGAGGCTCCTTCAAGACCTGCTTTGCCACGCTGTTGGTGCATACATCACTTGAGCTTGAGGCTGGTGGATCCTCTTCCCTTGTATTGCTTGAATTCAATATCCCATCCAGGCCTGTTTTACTAAGCTCCCGAGCTATGGACTGTCACTGACCCACCCTGCTGTTTGCTGCCTTAGGCAGACTCTGCCTGTCTTGCCCAAGGGAGGACTCAGCTTTCTGCTTCCTTGACCTTGGACCCAGGAGCCCATGTGAGTTGAAGGACTTTCAGTATATTAACTATTCCATAAAAGTGAGTTGAATGAGCCCTCTGTACTACTACATGGACTAATTAGCTGCTTTACTCCTTCTCACTGTTATATTCCTTCTAGCATGCGTGCATGCACGTGCGTACACACACACATATATATATATATAATCATAAGTGTTGTGGTTTTGTTTCTAAAGAGAACTCTGCCTAACACATATGTGGAAAATGTTCTCTGTGTACTGGAAAACAATACATGGGGTGGAATGTTCCTTATTTATCTAGGTTGTTAGCTAATTGCTTTGTTCTTCTGTGTCTTTGAGTTTCTTTGAGTTTCTCTCCTGATAGAATTGTATTTACTCGAGTGGTGTACTGAAATCCCCTAGTATTATGATATTTTTCTCTTCAACACTGTGATTAATGTTATTTTGAGGGTCTTTCATTGGGAGTGTGTATATTTAATATAATTATGTCTTGGCTCTATTTGTTTAACTATGTAGTGTCCTTTTTGTATCTAATGGTGTTTTTTTGTCTTGATGTCATCTATTTTATTGGAGGTTAATATTGCCACTCCTGATGTGCTGAAGAAAGCTGATGGTGCTCGGCTATCAAAAGATATAGCTTCTGGGGTTTTAAAGGCTTGAAGATAAAACAAGCAACCATCTAGCGGAGAAGCAACAAATCCCACATGGAAGAAGCACACCAGCTTGTGTGATCATGAGGTGTCGATGGGATCAGGTATCAGACATCAAAGACCCCCCCAAAAAAATTATATTGATGTGAATAAAAGGGATGGTGGGGTAGAGACGCAAAGCCCATCTGTAGATAGTTGGACATCGCCTCACAGAAGGGTCACAAGGAAGAGATGAGCCAGTGAAGGTACAGTACAGCACCAAGGAAACATACAACTTTTCTCTAGTTCTTTAATGTTTCCCCGACCCCACTACCATGATCCCAGTTCTACCTTACAAATCTGGCTAGACCAGCACATATACAGAGGTACAGATAAGAGCTGGAAAAACACAGGGAATCCAGAACAAGTAAACACCTCAGGACCAATAATGAGTAGTGATACCAGAAGGGGAAGGGGAAGGTAGGGGGAGAAAGGGAGAACCGATCACAATGATCGACATATAACCCCCTCCCAGGGGGACGAACAACAGAAAAGTGAGTGAAGGGAGACAACGGTCAGTGTAGACCAGGTGTCCTCAAACTATGGCCCGTGGGCCACATGCAGCCTGCCAAGGACATTTATTCAGCCCGCCAGATGTTTTATGGCCCGTTTTTTGGTTTTTTTTTTAATTTCAATATAAGATATGTGCAGTGTGCATAGGAATTTATTCATAGTTTTTGTTTGTTTTTTTTAACTATAGTCTGGCCAGCCAATGGGTCTGAGGGTCTGTGAACTGGCCCCCTGTCTAAAAAGTTTGAGGACCCCTGGTGTAGACTTTAAGACATGAAGAAAATTATACTTTATAAATTATGACGTGTTCATGAGGAAGGGTGGGTGGGGTAGGGGGCAAAATGAGGTGATACCAAGGGCTCAAGTAGAAAGATTGTTTTGAAAATGATGTATTTGACACAATGGATGTATGTAAGGATTGTGATAAGCTGTTTAAGAGTCCTCCAATAAAATGATTAATTTATGTATGTGCATATAGATACACACATACATATAAAAGCCATTCCTGCTTTTTTTACTTGCTTTTAGCTTGATAAAAATTTTCTCCATCCTTTGCTTTTTAGTCTATTTTTGTCTTTGTGTCTCTTGTGGGCAACATATGGGTGGGTTTGTTTCCTAATCCAATCTGCTACTCTGTCTTTCGACTGGTGCATTTAATCCATTGACATTGTTATTATCGACACGTGCAGGTTTGCGGCTGTCATTTTGCTCTGTGTGGGTTTGTTGTTGCTGCTGCTGGTTTCATTGGTTCCTTTGTTCTTCCTCTGTGTGTTGTGTGACTACTATTTTTATTGTGTTGATTTCCAGAGGTTGTCCTGTATGTCCATCTGCAGTCTTAGTTTATTCTCTGTTCAAAGTGTTCTCATTAGTATTTTTTGTAATGCTGGTCTTGCTTTTACAAATTAATTTATCTTGTCTGGAAATAACATGCTTCATATTTGAAAGTCTCCATGCAAATTAGCTGCTTATTTTCAATGGGAAAGTTTTCACAACAAAACAGACAACATATAAATACGCACATAAATAAGAACATTTATTTATTTATGCAATCAGTATGAATCTGGAGTAAACTCTTGTATCCTTTTCTTTTTTTCATGTTTATAAACAGAAAGTGTTCAAACGTTGAATAATTTCCCATAAAGCCAGGACACAGGACTGTTTTAACCAAGGGATCCCTCCTAATTAGTATTGTGAATTGGTGGATTGGAGTGTGGAAACCTAAAATTCACTGTTGTTTTTGAGAAAGTCATTTCAGCCCTCTGTGCCTCAGTTTCCTAAGCAATAAAGGCAAATTTCTAAGGCCCAACCAGTGTAAGAATCACTGTAATTTGACGATTTCTGGAGGGAATCCTTTAATATGTGTACTATGTTCTCTCAGAATACTGCTTACTTGGTTTTCCGTTGCCTGAAATGATGGTGCTGGGCTGTAAGGTTCGAGAACACCCAAGCTAGTACACTCCTGCTTCCTGGGAGTGGCATGATCAATGCCATATGATGCAGCAGGTACCATCAAAATTCTGAAAGGACCTTCTCAGCCTTATGGGCATATCTGCAGAAATATTACCAAATATGGGAAATATTTCCCCCGTTTTCACTGCATTTCAGAGGCCTGTGCACGTGACTCCTAAATTCTAGGTTTTGCTGAAGGTTTGACAAGAAACTCAATCATAGGTCAGACAACTGCTCAAAAGTTAGGAGTGAGTGATACACAGATGAGCCTCCTACAAAGATGGTGTGTGTGTGTGTGTGTGTGTGTGTATGTATGTATGTATATATATTTGGCTATAGAGCTCTGCACCTCCACCTAATCTAATCTATAGGACTAGACATGAAGTGAATCCAATAATGATGCTGATGCTGGTAGACTGTTAGGTGACATGATATTCCCCGGTTGAGGGTTGACCCAATCAGCTGTGTGTGTGGCAGTGGTGGGTAGGGGAAGAGGGAAACACGTAGACCAGGTTGCCTTTCCCAGGTTCAATGTGATCTATTGCAAAGGCCTACAGTGAGCCTGGTGACATTCCATTCAGTTACTCTGACATAGCAAAATAATTCCATCAAGGTAGACTTTTCTTGAATATATCAAGAATTGGAGGAGCCCTGGAGGCACAGTAGACTCAGCTTTGGACTTCTATAAAAGAGTTGGCACTTTGAACCGACTAGCTGATCCGTGGGACAAAGACGAGGCAGGAGTCGGTGCCATGAAGGTGACAGCCTCCAAAAGCCGGTGGAGCTGCTCTGCTCTGTCCTGGAGGGCTGCTGGGAGCCCGAATCAGCTGGATGGCAGTGGGCTTTATTAAAAATGCATTCCAGATAACAAAGAGTGGGGTGAGACTGTGTGCGGGCTCTGCTAAGCAACACAGCTGGCTGGGAAGCTTGGACAGAAATGAAAACTTGTCAAATTGAATATCTGTGCAAGTTATACCAAGTGGCCCTGACTCAAGTGAGCACGACTCTCAGGTGGTTATATTGTCCTGGCTGTGGTCAGAACTGGGTCCTAAGTCCTGCTTGGTACATGCTCTTTTATACAACAACGCCAGCGAGGAGAGTGAAGTCAGTGGGCCTTCCCTATGCATGTGACATGAGCCTCGCACACGTCACCTCATATAATACTCAATGCCTTTGTGCGATAAATGATAGAACCTTCCTTTTACAGATGACAGACTAAGGCTTTCAGAGGTTGAAGAATTGGAACAAGGTCCCATGACTGATATTTGAACCTATCCCAGCTCTCCTTATCTTGCACAGCTGCCCTGGCCACTTACTGCTCCGTGGCTCTCTCTTCCTAAGACCATCCATCCTACTGCTGCCCACTGCACACCCCACCCCGGGGCTAATTTCTGAACTGCCACTTAGGTACATTATTAATTGAATTCTATTTAGCAGTTAAAGGATTCTCTCCCAATCAGCATGTTAAGCAGTCACTATAAGAAAGATAAAAAAATTTTAAATGGAAGCATGCTCACAATTTACATACAGCTTTATTTGCAATTTGCTGCAATCACTTGGAACAATCAGCGGGCATATATGTTGCTTCTGGGAAGAGCATTTGGCTCTGGCTTTTCTTCTCCCCAGGGAGACTGGCACCTGCACCCACTGCGGGCAAGCTCACACCCAGTGCTGTCCTGCGCTCAGGGCTGTGCTGAAAGTTCTCAAAGCCCGATGTGTCCCCCTCACAGCTAAAAGGAGTGACCCGGCTTCAGCTTCATGGCCGGCCTCCCACAGGTGTCTGCTCAGCTCCTCTGCGTCCCAGCGCCCTTGCTGTGGGCTGGCCAGGAGGTGGTCAATCATACGGGGATAAAAGGGAGTAGCGAGACACTTCACCAACAGTTTGGCATCCAGGAGTAGGGAAAGAAGTTCTGGGTCACAATTGGAATCATCCACCTGTAAGACATCCGACACAAAACATGAGTGGCCTTTGGTTAGTCCTTCTTACCATCAGACTCACTGCGCTTGGTTTGTTAAGCACTGTGCTCGTTTTTTGCCTGCATCATGAATACCTGTACCTGGGTTTGACAACCTGGTCCAAAGGCACATACAGGGCAGGAGCATCTCTGAGAACTTACAGACACGGGGTGATAGACGGTTTCCTTTTAACACAAGACAGTCATGTCTCTTGAATCACTGCTACAATTCGCACACTTAAAGGTGCACCCTTACAGCTCCCTGTTTTAGAATCTGTACCACATTCTCATTAGCAATGGAGTCAACACTGTTATCCAACCAGGGATGTCCTAGGATGGCAGCGTGTCACTGCCAAGGCTCAGCATCTTTTCTTCGTCCTCATGTAGGAGCACGTGTGTCCACAGCTCACCTTTGACTCCGGAAGACAAGGAGGTTGAACTCAAGTTAGTGTTTTGCTTTGTTTTTCAGAGTCTAGACAGTACGGGAGCCAATGAACTAGTTTTTCTGCTAAAAGCTTTTAATACTCCCAATGGATTGGGGTGGAAGGGGTTGCTCATGCCTCTTGCATGTCTTTCTCTCAATTTCTCTTCTCTCCAGAGCAAGTTCATAAGAATCTTAGCCTCACAGAGAACCCACCTGTATTATAATCGCACACACCAGTTACTGAGTACCTGTCCCATGCCAGATCCTAACGGGGTGCTTTGTCTCTGTGTCTTACACATCCCCAGAATATAGTTATTAACCTCATTTTATGAATAAAGAAACCGAGAGTCATTGCAGTCAAAGTCTCGTGTTCATGGAGTGTATTTGCTAAATGGTGGAGCTAGACGCCTCTCTGGGCGGCTTGTTTGCTTCTCCCTCCCGTCTCTGAATGGGGGCACGCCCAAGCAGAGTCTGTCTCCTTTACTTGCTTCCGCAGTTCCTCTGCTCTGAGCAGAGCTGACCACATGCTAGGAACAGTCAGATTTGTGGACCGAAGACCTGAATGAAGGACTGTCACAAAAGCTAGAGTTCTCTCCCTGTGCCCTTCCGCCTCCACGCAGGGCCGGGACGTGTGCCTAGACACACGCCGGCAAGGGCTTCCCGCAAGTGTGGTTGTTTTGCTTCCCTCTTGAGTCAGAGTCTCTCCACCTACCCTTCTGGGAGGGCACAGAGCGCAGGACGTAGGCCAGGGTGCCCCTGCGAATGTCTGAGAAGCCATACAGATAAAAGGTTCAGAAGTCAAGCACTGCAGGGCAATACTTTCGTTGTTGCTTTGAATAAGGCTTCCAGGCCAGAACACCCTTACTGTTTTTTCTGTTTAGGCACTAAGCTTCCCGGTGGAAGCCTGGCAGGCCTCCTACACGGGAGAGGGGGTTCTGCCAGTGTCTCCAGCGGCTCCTCTGAGCCCCTTGGCAGGCCGGAGTCCCTCTCCATGCAATGGCATCTAAAACGTCAGCCTCTGGCTGATGTCCCCACTTTTCAGATGCCAGCCCCATCCTGGCAGGATGATGGCATGGGCCATCATCCAAAAGCGACTAGCTGCCTTGAGAAAGCCCAAGGCTACAGTCATGGGAACTAAAAATAATGTTTCTCCTTTGACCCTGGCCCCTCCCAAAGGTTCCAAAAAGAAAGCCAGGGTCACAGATTGCTGAGTTTGGGTGGTGGCCCCGGAAACAGTTTTCCAAGGGTGGGTGGTGTATGTGTGTGTTGGTTTAGCTTTTATCGAGTACTAGAAACAGAGCAGTGTTGACTTCCTTGCATTTTCTTTTTCCTGACTTTATAGCTGGTCTGGATCCTTGCCAGGGCAGAAAAAGTGAGCTAGAGAAGACTTTACAGCTGTCAGGTGTAAGGAAACGACCACTGGTCCATTCTTGGCTGCACATCTGGGGCAGAAGGCAAGAACGTAAAGAGTTGGGCTTTAGGATGACCTCGTCTAAGATGTGCGAGTTAAAGAAAGCAACCTGAGGGTCAGAGAAGACAAGTGCACAAGGTCACAGAGCGCCATCTGCTCTTCTTGGGGCAAGGCTGCACGGAGGCTCACTCCCAGCCGTCCCAAAGTGTTTTCAGGGCCTTCCGCGTTATCTCCACACTGGGGAGTTGCTAGGTTAATTTGTGAAGCTCCAACTTGTCTTCATTTTTCTTGTTTTTGACTAACATTCTAACTCCAGGCACTCAAAATCTGGTACTATCTACCACAGCAACCTGGAACTGTCACGCCACCCATTACTCATTCTTACCGACTTTGTTTTTCTCTTTGGAAAGCAACAAGACAAAAGTGGACAGCGTTTGTCAAAAGAAGACATCCACTTGATCACGGTAAGAAAAACGCTCTCCACTCACTGTCCACAAGCATGCTTTCTCAGCGCAGCCAGGATCCACACCTCTCTGCTGTCTTCCTGTTCTCCGAATATCCACACATTTAAGACCTTTCTGTAAATTCATTCGTAGAACTTCTAAGGCTAACAAAACAGTCTACTGAATATATATGTCAAGTTATTTCGTGTCGCATGCTAAAAATATTTCATTTGCTTTTAACTGTTATTGAAATTCTGAAACAAATGCGCTTCTATGCACATAATTCCTTCCTTATTTAAATTAGGTTCTTGGGGGTAAACTACTAAAAGAAGTATTACTGGGCCAGTGCACCTGGAACTTCTTGGTTCTGGAGAAGAATGCACATGATCATTTCAAAAGTTTATCAGTTACAGAAACCCTTTTGGCATGGTGGTTTATGTGTTGGGCTGCTAGGCACAGTTCAACGGTTCAAATCCACCAGCTGCTCCATGGAAGAATGCTAAGCTTTCTGGTTCCTTAAAGATTATCAGCCTTGGAAGCCCAAAGGAACAGTTCTACTCTGTCCTAAAGAGCCGCTACGTGTCAGAACTGACTTGATGGCAGTGGGTTTGGTTTTTGTAGCAGCTTACATGATGACATGGATGTCAGAATATAAACATGTCAGTTTAACTGTAAAAATCTTAGCTTTGGGTATTATTAAAAAATAATTTGCTAATCCAGAAGATATGTAATAGTACTTCAATGCTGCTTTAATTTTAATGCACTTATTTATGGATACTTTTACATGTTTCTTCTTTTTCTTCTGTGTGAGAAAAATCATATTCATTGCTTTTTCACTAGAGTTGTGACATCTTTCTTTCACATATGAGAGAGCTATTTGTACTTTATATATATCCTCTTATTTTAGTTGTAATAAATATTCTGATTTGTCATTTGCAATTCTGCTTTGGAAACTTTTGTTGTATAGAAGTTTTACATTTTATACTGTCAAACCTGTGGATCCATTCAATTATGATCTGTTCTACTGCTTCAAACTGGGAAAGTTGTCACTGCTCTTGTTAAGAACGGGCAGGGGTCTCATAGCAACCTAGTACAACAGACCCTAAAACTGCCTGGGCCGACGCCACCCTCACAAGTGGTATGTTTGGGTCCATCGATGCAGCCTCTGTGTCAATCCATCTTGTCCAAGGTCGTCTTCTTTTTCGCTGGGTTCTAGCTTACTAAGCATGATATTCTCCAGGGACTGGTCTCACTTGACGACATGTGCAAAGCACATGAGATGAAGCCTCCCCATCACTGCCTCTAAGAAGCACTCCAGTTGCACTCATTCCAAGGCAAATCTGTTTGTTCTTTTGGCCGTTCGTGGTACTTTGAGGATTCTTTGCCAGAACCACCATTCAAATGGATTGATTCTCCCTTGGTCTTTCTTATTCAGTGTCCAATTCAGCCCCACATGAGGCGATTGCCAACACTAGGGCTTGGGTCACATGCGCTTTATTCCCAAGATGAACAGCCTTGATTTTCAGTACTTCAGAGGTCTTGTGTGGCACATTCAGTCAATGCTGTGCACTCTTTGGCTTCTTGACTGCTGCTTCCATGAGCATTGATTGTGGTTCCAAGCAGGACACAAATCTTGGACAACTTCAATCTATTCTCCATTCGTCACACTACCTATTGGGCCAGTTGTGAGGATTTTGGTTTTCTTTACGTTGAGCCGTATTCCAAATTGAAGTCTGAAATTCTTGATTTTCATCAGGAAATGTATCAAGTCCTCCTCACTTTCAACAAGCACAGCTGTATCATTTGCAATATTGCAGGTTGTTAATAAGTCTGCCTCTAATCCAGATGCTGCACTCGTCATATAATCCAGCTTCTCTGATGATTTGTCCAGCACACAGATTGAATAAGTATGGTGAGAGGACAAAATCTGGACTCACACCTTGCCCAATTTTATTTTTTTAATCATTTTATTGGGGGCTCATACAGCTCTTATCCCAATCCACACAAACATTGTGTCAATCACATTTGTACGTATGTTGCCATCATCATTTTCAAGACATTTTTTTTCTACTTGAGCCCTTGGTATCTGTTCCTCATTATTTTTTCCTCCCTCCCTCCCCCTTGATAATTAGCAGTCATTATTTTTTCATGTCTTACACTGATTGATGTCTCCTTTCACCCACTGTTCTATTGTCCGTCCCCCAGGGAGGGGGTTATATGTCAATCATTGTGATCAGTTCCCCCTTTCTCCTCCCACCTTCCCCCTACCCTCTGGCATCGTAACTCCCATTATTGGTCCTGAGGGGTTTATCTGTCCTGTTTGCCCTGTGTTTCAGCTCTTATCTGTACCAGTGTACATCCTCTGGTCTAGCCAGATTTGTAAGGTAGAATTGGGATCATTATAGTAGTGGGGAGGAAGTATTTAGGAACTAGAAGAAAGGTGTATGTTTCATCGGTGCTACACTGCACCGACTGGCTCGTCTCCTCCCTACAACCCTTCTGTAAGGGGATGTCCAATTGCCTACAGATGGGCTTTGGGTTTCCACTCTGCACTCCCCCTCATTCCCAATGATATGATTTTTTGTTCTGGGTCTTTGATGCCTAATACCTGATCCTATCGACACCTCATGATCACACAGGCCATGCCTGATTTTAAACCATGCAGATTTCCCTTCTTTTGTTTGCACAACTCCCCCTTGATC